ACAGGGACACAGAGAGATAAACAACCATTCACACTCTAACCCTAGGGACACTTTAGTTACCAGTCAGTCTAAAGTGCATGTTTTTGGTCTGTGGAAGGAAACTGGAGTACCTGGAGAAAACCCACGCATGCACCAAGAGAACAAGCAGACTCCAATCAGAAAGGTCCCCCAGACCGGGATTTGACATGAACTTTGTAATGCTACGGCTGATTTTCATTCCTCTTCTTTCAAGTGCATACCTCCACCTCTCCAAGCTCTCTTCCACCTGTTCCCTGTTCTCACCACAGATCACAATGTCATCTGCAAACAACATAGTTCACGGGGATTCTTGCCTGACCTCATCTGTTAGTCGATCCATCACCAGAGCAAACAAGAAGGGGCTCAGAGCTGATCCTTGATGCACTCCCACCTCCACATTGAAGCTATCTGTCACTCTTACAGCACATCTCATACATGTCCTGCTGTCCTCATACATGTCCTGTACAAGTCCTGCTGTTCTTATGCATGTCCTGTACTAGTCTAACATGTCCTGCTGTCCTTGTCAATGTCTTGTACCAGTGTGACATACTGTCACTCCAGATTTTCTTCAAACAGCATCACAGATCCTCTGGCAGCTTCTCATTCATATTGTCTAGGGTAGAAAAAGAGCAGCTCAAACAAATGATTCAATATAATATTTGTGCCCATGAAGAATATTTGTAAACTTTGGAGCCCATCTGTAGAAAATGTCTGAGTTTTCTAACAGGGTTAAGTCAGGTCCTCTGGGTTATTGAGCACGAGTCTGGGGCTTTTATTTATTTGACCGGCAGCTTGATTTTACCAGACTTCATGAAGTGCAGAATTCAAACAAATTAACCAGCAGTTGTACTGGTTTAACTGTTAAACTGCAATAAAACCACTAATATAACCATGTGGGAGTGGTGGTGCAGAGGTTAGAGGAGGTGGGCCTGTGGAGGTGGACCCACACTCGCCCCCACCCTCATTCGCCCACCCTGGGCCCATGAGCAAGGCCCATCTGCTCCCTGAAACAGGTCTCTCTTGAAAATGAGTTCTCGTGGCTCAATGAGACGACCTGTATAAATAAAGCTAAATGAAAAAGGTCATGCGCGTTTCTGCAGCAGCTTTATGGTTTGAGCGAGTTTCTCTTTGCCATGTGCTAAAACCACGAAGCCGAAGAGCCCGAGTGGATCTTTTCCTGATCACCGCTCGGATCTCGTCTCTCCTTACACACAGCTGTCCTTCCTGCTCGCTGTGCAATGCGCATGCGCGTCCGGCGGTTCGCGGTTGCGCCAACTGGTAGAGGATGTTGCTAGCTGCCGAGTAGATGCACAGCCTTTTTCACAACAATAACACCAAGAACATTTGCATCTCCGCGTCTTGGACTTGAGGATTACCGACTCCACACGGTCCCGGACACTGCGGGTTGGACCGCGACGCTCCGAACCTCCAGGTGTCTTCTGTGTGCGCTGCTGGCTGGACAATGGACGGGTTTGCAGCTTTACAAGGCTCCTTTTTGCAGGAGCACCAACAAGAACCATGGCTCGCCAGCTAGGCCGCAGATGGATCTAGTCGCTATGAGCAACGTTGTCCTGATGATCAAATCCTGGATGTGTTCTTGGTGCTTGGACATAAGAAGTGGTGCTACAAAGCAGGCGTCTTAATCCCCAGATTATTCTTCATTTCGGGTGTTTATCGGGACATGGAGCCTGCGAGCCGTTAGCTTCTCAACCTTGACTGCTGGACGTCTTCGTAGCTAGCTCCTTTAGCTCGCTGCGTTAGCTCGGCCGGACAACCCGTTCGGATTTGAACCTTTCTTGCAGTTTCCCGCCACTGCCGTGTGTCCTGAAGCATTTCATCACCGTTAATTTTTCAAAGTCCTCTTCTGTATGAATGTGGGACAAAATGGAGACCCCGACGATAGTGTACGATCTGGATACCTCTGGGGGCTTAATGGAGGTGAGCTCGAAGGCCTGAGTGGAAATAATGAATTATCACCGACATTGTTGTTGTTTTCAATCATCTTTATTGTGAATGTCCTGTCGGTGTAGCCGGTTGTCGTGTTGCTCAACCTGTGAAGTTGCCGGAGGCCTCAGGTTGCCGCTCTTGAAGCAGCAGCCCGCTCGGCAGCGCCATGTTTCCCGCTGCGATGCTCAGCTGCTCTCTCTCTGTTGCTTCACAGCAAATCCAAACCCTGCTGGCGCCTCCCAAGTCCGAAGACGTGGAGAAGAGGAGCCGGAAGTTGGTGCGAGACGTCCGGAGGAGCGGCAGAGCCACCAACCATGACACCTGCGACAGCTGCCGGGAGGGGGGCGACCTGCTGTGCTGCGACCACTGCCCCGCCGCCTTCCACCTGCAGTGCTGGTGAGGACTCGGCTCATGGGGGCCGTACTGGTTTAGACTGGGAGCTGTACTGGTTTAGACTGGAGGCTGTACTGGTTTAGACTGGGGGCTGTACTGGTTTAGACTCATGGGGGCTGTACTGGTTTAGACTGGAGGCTGTACTGGTTTAGACTGGATGCTGTACTGGTTTAAACTCATGGGGGCTGTACTGGTTTAGACTGGGGGCTGTACT